ATTACTTAAAATACTACTCATTTTTAACACACCTTATACACCTTACTATCATGGTCATGTAGTACCTTGTATGGCACTAGTCCATAAATACCGGGTATTAACGTTTGGCCCGTATATTATCCCAACATGCCAAACTTGGATGAAAATTCATTTTCTTTTACTTGCTTCTCGTCTTATTTTTACGAATTTACTCATCACTTGTGAAATAGCATAATCCTTATAAACTCTGAATAATCTTTTCCTTGGACTGATGTCAATTACCTTACGACAAATTTAACGTACAATACTATAGGGTGAAACATCATCGTAATTTAATACTGCAAAGTGTAACATCATCATAATATAATACTACAAGTTGTAACATCATCGTAATATAATACTACAGGATGTAACATCATCGTAATATAATACTGCAGGATGTAATATTATCGTAATATAATACTGCGAGATGTAATATCAATGTAATTTTGTAGGGCGTAACAATTGTCCTCAATGCTATTAACAAAAATAGAATAGGGGAAGGGTAGAGAGTAAAGAAAAACTCCCTATGATGCCTCTATCTGCATGGGAAACTGGCTGGGTCCTGTGGCTGGCCTGAGTCACCTCCCTCGGGGTCCTCCATCTCAATCTCCAAATCCTCAATCTGGGGGATCACACTTCTCGTCATGGTCTCTCTGTCAGCCTCCTGCTCTAGTGTCTGTGTTGCCTAAGCTACTAGAACTGGCTCCTCCAAGAGTAGGTCCAATAGGATGTCTCCTGCTGATCTAATCTTCTCAACTTCCTTGCGCAACATCTTTACGGACTCCTTTGAGGCCCTAGTCTTTTTCATCTTCTTCGTTTGTTTGCCCAGTTCTATGATTGTTTTCCCTGAGCATCCAAAGTGGCCATTATAATCTCCTGGTTGTCCAGAATCTTCTTTTGATTGTCCAGAAGCTCCTTGAGTGATTCCTCCACTGAAGCAGGCACCTGAGGTTGTGCCGGAGCTCATAAGCTGCCACTGTGCTGGATAGGACAGAAAGCTTTGATGTAGCTGCCTGCATCCAGTTGTTGATGCTAGAAAGAGTCTGGTTAACACTCAGTGTAGTTAGAGGGTATGCTGATGAAGAAGTCACTGAAGAAGGCATAGAAGTAGATAGTCCGGAGGGAGGATGTGGCATGGCAGTGGACAGCTCAGAACCAGTGGCCACCACCCCTAGCTCTTTAGACTGGCCAGTAGAAGTGGTGGCTTTGGCCTTGGACTTGGGGTTGTCTGGACCCTGAAGGATGTACCAGGAGAATGGCCTCTTTGGTTTCACCTTAGTGTCAAAGTCCCTTCCTTCGACTTCCTGATCCTCCAGGTACATGGTGAGGAAGTTTGGGAAAGGGTACGAGCTCTCATCTTTTCCAACCACTCTAGTATCACCCTGGCCATAATATTCCCGACGTTGATCGGGTACCCCGCCATGATATCCCCCATAATAATAGCTCAGGAGACCGACGTATCACTATCACGCGTAGTGAGGTCTAACCAGCTGCACACAAAAGTTTCCCAACCCTTCACCCCGAAGCTCAAAGTGTTCCTGTATATCGGGACCTAGGTAACAACCAAGCTGGACTAGTCCCCGGAAGAGCCATAACTGATGCAAGCCAAGGGCTAGCTAACTCATCCATAGCCACCTTCTCCAGATACAGGGACTCATCCTCGTCATTGAATCTAGCATAATATTTAAGGTCTTGCCATCAAACTTAATCTTCTTGTTCCAGACTTTGGTAAAAAAAATGTGCCCTTTTTTATGTTGGCGACATTCGCGTAAAATTCCTTGACCAAGTGTTCATTGGCATCTGGTAAGTTGCTGGTGAAAAACTGCCACCCCACTTTCTCATTGAAGTGCCTCTTGACATTCGGGTTGTGAGGTAGCAGATCTCGCTCAATAAAAACCCTCTCATGTGTAAGTGACCTCTAAGGCCACCACTCCCGAAACTTGTGGTAGCCTTTTTCACTCACAAAACATTTCTGTCATACCACAGGGTTCCTTGATCTCCCCAACCCTCCTATCTGGGTGTCACACCCCTCCCGTCATTAGGGATATCAGCATCTACATCAATATGGTCTGCTGGTGAGGCCAAAGGTGTGGCAGGTGGAGAAGCTAATGCTGAAGCCTCACTACTTTCCTCTGAGCCATCAGACGACTCAGAAGAAGCAGAGGAAGTAGGGGGTGTAGGCTCGTCCCATAACTGAAATTTCCCTTGAAAGTCTGTGGGAATATGTGTTGGCATTGAGTCTCCTTTCGAAACTTCCCGGGAAGGGACATACTCACTTCTTTCAGAATGTTTTGCGACTTTGTCCGCAACTTTGATGGTTTTCCACAGCTTCCCTATAGATTTCTGGACTGCTAGTGGTAATTTGGTCCTTCCTTGTCCTCCTCTTCCCCTACCTCAGGAGGATTCAGCCCTCCCTTTTATGTATCACCGGCACCTCTAGATCGAACCATTGTATGTAGAGAATAAGCCATGAAACAAAGTCAGAACGATGAATCAATCATATGGTTAAGCATTGAAGTTGAAGTTAAAACATTGCACATGGAACTAAAGCATAGCAGAGCACTTGCATATATTGCCTCTCAGAATCAGGATCCGCTGACCGCGGAAAAATAGGCGCAACCACGTAAAGGCAACCACGGACTGCAGAAAAAGCACCGCGTCCGCGAAATGTTGAGAATTAGACTACCTAATCTCTGAATCTGAGGTACCACTGAGAGCGAAAAAAGGAAGCGCGGCCGAGGTCCCTAATTGGCAATTCTTTGAACTTAAAGTCCGCGGTCTACGAAAAAAGAAGTGTGGCCACTTAAAGCAGGCCGCTGACAGCGAAATTTCCACCACTGACCGCGGAAAACCAATCATTTTTAACTCAGGACATTGCATGAATGCTGACTGCGAAATTACGGTTGTGGCCGCGGAATTCAAAATGAACGGGCACTCTAGGGTTTTCACTTAGCATAAAAATTAGGCGATTTAGGTGCTAAAATGAACAACCCTACCCCTATTAGGCATGGATAACAAGTACCCACATGAATTTTTAATATCAAAGCCTAGATTATGGGATAATCAAACCTTAATTAAAAAGAAGAAGTTAAAACTAAAAGAAAAGAAAAGTAAAAATATAAAACCAATGTGATGATTTGAGCAAACCAGTTGTTTGAAGTGTGTTGGAAATTAACCTATGATTAGTGTTATGCTATTGGGATCAGATTTGGGGTGATGAACAGTAAGCTATTTCGGTTGAGAGTGAAAGGTGCGAACGGGGTAAAAGGAGGAGGCCCCTCCTATTTATACTAAAACCCTGAGGGCCCACACCAACCTACCTGACGCGGCCGCGGAATTCCACCGCGGTCCGCACTTTTTGCTGTTTTGAAGAGTTGCAAGATCAACACTACTGTTGAGAGCGGAAAAGTGAGCGTGACCGCGAAACAAGGTTCGCTGACCGCGAAAAAGCCACCGCGGACGCGGTTGAAACTTCAGAGAGGTCACATTTAGGACTTTTCAAGTCCGCGTCCACTACCAAATCACGCCCCCACGAAAAAACTTCCACTAACTGCGGAATTTCGAGCGCGGTCAGCGGTCCAATTACATACTTAGCCAAATTTTTTAGTATTCGTCCTGCACTGTATCAAAAATTCCTACACAAATCTCAAAACCAGTTAGTACAAAACAAATACTAGACTAAGAAGAAAAAACACATGGGTTGCCTCCCAAGAAGCACCTGATTTAACGTCGCAGCACGACGCATGTTACCATCATCATTTGAAATTGATCAAAGCCACCATGTGGCTATCATCAAAATATCCCAGATAGTATTTAACTCGGTGCCCATTAACTCTGTAAACTTCACCATTTTTATTCTTCAAATCAAGAGCACCAAATGGAGTTACATGCACCACTTCAAAAGGGCCACTCCATATTGACTTGAGCTTTCCCGGAAACAGTCGTAACCGATAGTTGAATAAGAGAACCAAGTCACCCTCCTTGAATTCCTTGCTCTGGGCATACTTGTCATGTAAGTACATCATCTTGTACTTATACAAGGATGATATGGAATAGGAATGAAATCGAAACTCATCTAGCTTATTGAGTTGCTCTACTCGAAGATTTGCTGCAACATCCCACTCAAGATTTAACCGCTTCAAAGCCCACATGGCCTTATGCTCTAACTCAACCGAAAGATGGCATGCTTTCGGAAATACCAAACGATATGGAGACATACCAATTGGAGTCTTATAAGCTGCCCCATAAACCCACAAAGCATCATCTAGTTTCCTTAACCAATCAGTCCTATTTGCATTGATAATTTTTGACAATATGCTTTTTATCTCCCTGTTGGAGATCTCAACTTGTCCACTAGCCTGAGAATGATAAGGAGTTGATACCTTATGATTGACACTATACTTTGCAAGCAAAGTGTCAAATGCCCTATTGCAGAAATGAGAACCCACTACAAAAAAAACAGCATTTAGCGACGGCCGCATTCCATCGCTAAATCAATGTTTTCTGTCGCTAAGGTTGTTTAGAGACGGAATAGCGACGGATTCAAGTTGGTCCCTAAAATTCTCGTTGCTAGGATTATAGCGACGAAAAATACCAAACCGTCGCAGAATTAGCGACGGAGTAGCGACGACATATTTTTGTAGAAAAGTTTAGCGAGGGAAATATCTGTCGCTATATAGCTTGTTTCTGTCACTATTTTGATGTCTTTCGTCGCTGCAATACATAATAAAATTTGTCATTTGTTCTTATAGCGACGAAATTGTCCGTCGCTAGCCGTGTTATAGCTAATTGTCCATGCTTTTTGCAACAAAAACCTTTTGTCGCCAACTCATCGTAAGATTTAATTTTACACGATAATTTTAGCTATGGAACGTATCCGTCACTGATTTATTTTTACTATATTGCTGGTTTTTTAAAATTCTTTTTATTTATTAATTTAAATGTACTCTGTTAAAACATATTACATAAACTATTAAATATACTTAATAAAAAGTCACTGATATTAATATAAATTCAACAAGGTCCAAAATATATAGCATAATACATATAACAGTATCATTAAGTACAAAAAATCCACAAGGACCAACAATAATGTCCAAACAAAGTAAGCTAAATATGCTAGGCTGGAGAGTTATGGTCATCATCAGAACCCAATGCATGAACATCATCAATGTTAGCAGTTGTAGAAGATCTTGGAACTGTAGGTGCCATATCAATATTTGGCTGATGCGAAGGTAAGGAAACTAATTCGCATACTCGCTCAACGATTACAGGAACTATATGATCTGTCAGTGCAGGAATCAATCACATCACTAACTCATCCAGATTCCCTGTCGGTGTTGATTGAGAATTTGGAGGTGTTGCTGACGATGTAGCATCAGATCCAAGAGAGCCATGAAGATTTGGCCCATAGTAGCATTTTGCTTACGATCCAAGACCATATACTCTTCTTTTCTTTTCTCCTCCGGCGGCTTGATAATATGCTTTACACTGATCAATGTTAGATTGAGTTTGTGTTTATTGCTGTAATATCTCCTGATATTTTTCCTGTAGAAGAGTTAATAAGAACATTCAATTTATAAAATGAAAAAATATATGAAAGTAAAGTCAATTAAAAAGTTATCTTACATGTACAATTCGGGATTTTTCAGCAACAAAAGATTTTCCATCATTACCATGAGTATGGACGTGCAAATGCAACTCACTTGGTGTTGGATCTCCACCCTTTTTAACAGCCTATACAAATATTATTCAATTAAGAAGATAGAGAAACAAAAGGGTATAGTTGCGCAATTAGGAACTAATGGCAGCAATAATACTCTAGGAACAATCCAGATTCTAGTCAGGGATTACAACTATATGTGGAACTATATGGAGGACAAGTAACCAATGAAATTATTCCAGGTAGGACAAGTAACCAATGAAACCATATGTGGAACTACATGGCAACTGAAAACAAATTCAGTAGATATGTCACATCACTGATTTGTATGTATTTGTATCTTATTCACATACTAATATAAGCTCAAAATACAACTATCTTTAATATTGATTTTGCTTCCTTTTAAATATATAGGACATGCTTATTGCAACAATGGACATTTCAGCCACATCAATAGAATGGATACTCACTGAGCTTCTAAGGTACCCTCAAGTAATGAAGAAATTACAAAGAGAGTGACCTTACTTAAACCAAAAATAAAGAACCAAAGAAATAAACATCCTAGCATGTTAAAAGTTGACTTTCTTCAGTATTGCATCTCAAATGTATTCCATTTCCAAACATCCTATTCCAAATTATATTCCTACTACTGGGTATGTTCTTGTTGTTGTAACCAACAGCAGGCTTAGGTTAATGTAGACATCTTTTAGTATTTCTTCACATAACGTTAGCACATTATCAGTATATTATGAACTGCTGATAGTTGAGAATTTTTGTTTTGCCAGCACTCTCACAGTTACACTCTTACACTGATTCATGACACTGCCCCCATGCTCTCCTCCATGACACTGATTAAGAATAGGCAAAAGGAGGAAAGATGAATTATAATGGTAAAAGCAACTACCACATTAAAAAATCTATAAACCTTTTTGGTTCAAAAGACATGCAAAAGATCATTTACACCGTCTTTTTAGGTGATTTATACTATAATAACCATTTGAGCTACCAACAGCACCCATGAATCACAGCCTACCAAAAGCTGAAACAAAATGCTCTTTGTTTTCTAGTAGTAATATAGTCTATCATTTATGTCTTCTGCAATTTGGTGGGCCAGTACTAAAGAGAGGCTTCCAGGACTCGATGAGCCAACTTAAGATGCCCTTATTGAAAGAATCTTCTGTCCCAATTTTCAGTTTATAGAGAGAATCAGGAAATGGACAGTCAATTAATTGCATATCCCACTTCCAAGGAATCATTTGGTTTATTTTGACTTACTTGAAACAAGTAGTAATAACCTATTTGAGACAAAGAAGAGTGCTAGTTGGAGAAACCTCTATTCTCAAAGGGGCATGGCAGATTGCTAATTCTACTATCAATGAGAGGAAAAAGTTATAAATACACAAGTCTCTTGCGATGCTCCCCAACACTGATAGAGCCACATGTATGAGTCCTAGTGGCAATTTCGCTCCCACCACAATGATTGTTTGCATTTATTTCTGACTTTTCAACACACTTAGGATCTTTCCAAAGTCTCAACCAACTTTCCCACACATTATTTAGAATAGTGTCCGGTTTCACCATATTTGTTTTTAGTTTGCTAACAAAATCACTATATCTTTTTGCTGCCCTACGCTCCCATTGGATCTGTACCGCACTATCAATTGAAGAATCCCAGTAGAAAGCCTTCTGAAATAATTTTATAAAGTAATAACATTAATAAGTTACATATAAAAGTTAATATACTTTCAAAATCTAAGTGTGATAGATTATACCCTGAATTCTCCAAAATAAAATTTTTTTAACTCAGTTGAGACGTTTTTTCAGTTGAATCCATTAGGATCAAGTTCATTCTTGAAAGACTTAGTTATAAACTCAGAGCATTCATATGAAGGCTCTAACATGAACAAATTAGAAGACATTATTTAAAGGAATACAATGTATCAATAACAATATACCAAAAGTAATAGTACAAGTATAGACTAACCCTGTAGGAGAAATAGTAAGAAGCATCTGCGGTCGGTGGGTACTGCTACACTCAGTTTTGCCTATTATGTTGCTTTGAGAAGATGTACCCTCACCTATTGTGTTGCTCTGATTAGGGGTATTTGGAGATGGTTCCAAATTAATAGTTGGGGTATCATGGCCTGATGTTTGAATATGTGGCGTACTACTAGGACCTAATGTTTGAACTTGATTGATGTGATCCGGTCCACCTGAGGAACTCGTACCACCTTGTTGAGGATTGATAGTGGGAATGGGAACAGTAGCCATATTTTCACGAGTAGCAAGATTACCCCTAACTGAAGATTTACCTACACGGCATGCGCTACCTCGACCTCTACCTCGAGGCATATTTCCAATTGCTCCTTTTCTTAGCCTGCAATGGGCTGCTCCAACTTAACCTGAGTAGTATAGTCTCTGAAAATTCAAACAAGCAGAAGCTAAGTTACAGAAAATTAAAGAAAAAACCATTTATCCGACCAATTGATGTGAAAATGTATGAGTAAGTAGCATGTCGCATTGAGAAGCAGATGAATGATTAAGAGGCCCAAATTCACAGTTTTGGCTATACATCAAGAGGATCCAGTTCTCCATCTCGATGTAGTTCAAAATGAGACTACTGAAGCTTTGTATAGCAGCATATTGAAAGTGAATCTCAATCTATCCCATAAATTCCATCAAAGGAGCAGTTGCATTTAAAACTCAGTTAGCATTTTAATTTTACAAGTTTATCAGATTTCATAAATTAGATCCCTTGCTTTGTCAAGTAATAGTGTAACGTATCAACTCATAGAAACTAAGTTAAACTCTTATATTTGAACTAACATAAGCTACTAAACTCCATTGCAGGCACCTGAAGAGATCAAGGGAATGATCAAGGAAACAACAACAAAAATGAGCATAGAATCTGGGAAAGCACTAAAAGAACTAGCACGTTCTATAAAAACAATGACTTCTCCCTTGTCAGTTAATAAACATGTCTCAAACGCCAAAACAGCAGCCAAGAACCTGAAATCACTTCTCATATCAGGTTTTTGGGAAGATATTAACTTACTAGAAGTCATACCAGTGGCTGCAGTTGCATCAATACTAATCGATATCGTCATTTGTGTCAAAGAAATTGCTGATTCTGTTAATAAGCTTGCTTCTTTAACTTATTTTAGAAGCAAAGAAACAAAGGTAGATTCATCAAAAGAATCCAGTATTGAAGCAACACAAAGTAGAAAAATGCATGCTTGTTCTCAGCATGTTGTTATTACTATTCAGTAAAATGACTAAGCCTTTCCTTGTCTAAAATATCATGTACTTTCATGTACTGACAACCAGTCTAAACACATGAGCCAACGGAGGAAGTAACTCTCTGAATATATTGTTGAATTTGATAACTTCTTTAGACCAAAATACAACGATCTTGGCTCCAATTAATTCTTAATTTAGATAGATTTATCAGGTAACCCTATTAATTTGATAAGAAATATTATTCTACTGCTACAAAAAAGAGTCAGACTAATGTAAAAAGAGGCACAACATAACATAAACTAGAAGAGTACTATATCATTTAGATTATTAAAAACGTGGTATTCGATTCGATTCTCTATAGATTATACTACAAAATAGATACATGACTTATAACATACCATACAGATTACTAGAAAAATAAAATTCAATAAAAATATAGTTGTGACATTTTTTACATGGACATCTAACATTGTCACCACTCATGCGATTGCACTGAGAACAAGCAAATTGGAGAAACTTGTTCACACCAATTATGAAACTTGAATTAATACCCCCTCGGCCATCCAACCTTTTGTACATTCAATCACGCTCTAGATTGTCCATGTTCCTATTTAATATTAAAATAAACAAGACCTTAGAGTTCTTTATTTAATAAGACATCAGAATGCTTTCTAAAATGAATAACAAGTTGACATTAGAATAAGATGAGAATACTAATACCACAATCTTGGAATGAAAACAAATCTTTGAATGCTCAGTTCCTTTCTTTGACCAAAATAAGAACCTCAAATAGACAAATGAAATGATATATATTAAGGATTACATAAGTCGAAAATTATACTAATTAGAATGCCCCAAAATGTAATTTATAAATTATTCAATTAAACCAATGCAATAGAAAAAAGCACAATCAACAGAACAAGGACATGAGAACTCACCAGACCCTGAAATGTCTTTTGGATCAAGCATGAAGACTAATAAAAACTGAATCTTTTCGAGAACTTTTACCACATAAATTCTTGTCGACCTGCAAAGAAAATTTTCAAACAAAGGGAAAATAAATTAGTGTATAGAAAATGCAAAAGTAGGACAAAAATCTTCACAATTCAAAACTAAATGGACAGTATTTTTTTCCACAATCCAATATTTATTGTATGAATATGATTTTATGACATTTAATGGTACTCATTCCCTTTAAATTTCCAGATTCAACTAATCTTTTCAGTTCATTTTCTTATATGTGGGCTTCATGATAGAGTTACTATAAAGAGGGTTGACTTTCTATATTCTTGTGAGAGTGATCTTCCTTCCAGCCCCTATATTCAAAAAAAAATTAAAAGGTTGAAGTGGAAGCACTAGTAATACAAGGACCAAAGATGGCAACTGTAATGAGCCAAGTGAAGAAGCTGGAGGTTTCTATGTTAGTCTTGGGTCAGAAAAAGCCCTCTTCTCTGTTACCTGGTACTAAATATATATTCTCCATTCACATTTAGTAAGAAAAATTACAATCAGAAAAACACTAATTTTCAAACTCTTCATTTTTTACATGATGGATTTTCCCTTTAATTTTGCAACTCTACTACTATAGTCTGTGTGGGCCGAGCAGTGAAGAGGAATTTGTGGAACAATGCATCAACACATTGGATTGCTTGACAATTAGGGTAAGGACGCAAATCAAAGGCATGGGAGGATACCTTATCAGCACTAGATGGCAGAAAATTTGAAGGGACAAAACAAGTAGAAGACAGTAAAACATGCAAAAGAAAACAAAGCATGTTATCAAAGATAAAAACAGAATATAACTGTTAGCCTAAGTAAATCCATCGCGCTTTATGCAAATGAAGATCAGCACTACTAAAAATCATGTTTCCTGGTCAGATAGTAATGTATAAGACTATATTTTGACACAATAAGTAGAATCTAAGAGTCTAATTTCTGTGTCGGCACAGGTTTAATAGTATACAACCTTCTCTCGAACTTCAAGTCTTTTTCAGATGCATATCTAGTTTAGTTAAAATATCAAACCCGAGGAATCCAATTTTTGATAATCAAATGTGTAATAAAAAGGTGGAGTAGAAAAATTGGTTCATGCACAAGTAGTTTACAAGGAATTTTTAAGAGGGACCAGGGAAGTCCAGGGACATTTCAAAGCAACTATTAAATGCCAAACTGAAAAATGAAAAATCATTGGAATCATTTTCTTCTAACAAAGTTGTAAAAATTCGGTGGAATAATGATGAGAATAGTACATTGGATTTACTTCCATCGCTGCATGTACTCATATCTAATTCAACAAGTATGATGTCTATTCATAGTGTATATATCAATGGAAAATAAGGGTATAAACATACCAATTTTTTTTAAATTAGGAAGAAATAAAAAGGGAGAAGCGGATGAAGACCTGGATGCTCAAGAAGAACCCAACAGATTTTGTATGTCTTTCTGTAGAATGAGAAGGAAGAGAATCACAAAGAAGCTTATCCTTTCACAAGAGAAATCACATACGACTTCGAATTTCAGAGTTATGTAGCAAAAATTTTGCAATTACAAAAGTTTTCTTCTAATTTTCATACAATAACCTGAGATTCACGCCCAATTTTTGTATTTGAAGAAAAAAAAATTACATTGTTGAAGGAGTGAAGGAGTCTGATAGAGAGGAGAGAAAGTGGGTTGTTGCCCTAATTGTTCGAATAGTCTGTCTTTTGAGCAAGATATTTTTATTTTTTAGGCAGAATTTTTGCGACGACAATAGCGACGGATCAAATTCTGTCGCTAATAATAACTAATGAAAATTTACTTTAATGGAACTAGATATTAGCAACAGAAATAGCGACGGACCAAATTTCTGTTGCTACTATCATCTAATGAAGCTTTATTTTAAGGAAACAAGCGACGAAAAATTTTGTTGCAATCAATTTTGGAATGTCTTAATAACTAAAATGAATGCAGCGACGGATTTTTTGACGTTGAATTGCTAGATTTTAATACTTTTTGTCGTTGCACTTTCGTCGCTAATTTTTTTAGGTAAAATAAAGGCACTAATATTTAGCGCCAATTTTAGCGACGAATATTGATTTTTGTCGCTATTCCGTCGCTATATTTGATACAATTCTTTTTGTAGCTTATTTGGCGACAAACTACAAAATTCGTCGCTAATCCGTCGTTATGTAGCTATGGAATATCTCTTGTCGCTAAATTCCGTCGCTAAATGCTGGTTTATTTGCAGTGACCCCCATCACAGATGATTGCTCAAGGAGTGCCAAACCGTGTAAAGATATTCTTCTTGAGAAACGTCACTACACTCCGGTCTTCGTTGTTGGGAAAAGCCACAGTCTCAACCCACTTGGAAACATAATCTATGGCCACCAGAATGTAAGTGTTGCCACATGAACTCACAAAAGTCCCCATGAAGTCTATGCCTCACACGTCAAAAATGTCAACCTCAAGAATAGTGGTAAAAGGCATTTCATCCTTCTTGAAAATTCCACCAGCTCTCTGATACTCATCACATCTCTTGACAAGCTCGCCAGCATCTTTATACAGAGTAGGCCAATAAAAAGCACAGCTAAGAACCTTTGAAGCAGTTCTCGCCCCACCATGATGACTACCGTAGGGCGAGGAAATGGCAAGCATCAAGAATACTCATTTGCTCCTCTTCCGGAACACATCTCCGGATCACACCATCATTACAAATCTTGAAAATATGAGGTTAGTCCTAGAAATAATCCAAGCTGTCCCGTTTAAGCTTCTTCCTTTGGTTAGAAGAGAGCTCACTCAGAACAATGTCGGTCACAAGAAAATTAGCCACATCAGTGAACCAAGGAATACAATTCAAAGACACTGAGAAGAGTTGTTTATCCAGGAATGCATCATTAATTTCGAGACCATCTTTGGGTCTCCCCTCCTCTTCCAAGCGGGACAAGTGGTCTGTCACTTGATTTTCACTTCCTTTCCCATCAACAATCTCTAGGTCAAATTCTTGAAGCAACAAAACACATCTCATCAATCTAGCTTTAGAGTCCTTTTTGGTCATCAAGTAATGGAGTGTTGCGTGATCAGTATGAACAATCACTTTGGCACCCATGAGATAAGGTCTAAACTTCTCCATTGCAAACATAATTGCTAGAAACTCTTTCTCCATCACCGTGTAATTAACCTGGGCATCATTCATAGTTTTGCTTGCATAGTACACCAGATGAAATATCTTGTTCACCCTTTGCCCCAAAACCGCTCCAACTGCAACGTCACTAGCATCACACATGAGCTCAAATGGCGAGCTCCAATTGGGTGCGGTGATGATGGGAGTGGTAGTCAATCTGTACTTGAAAAGCTCAAAAGCTTTCATGCACTCATCATTAAACACAAACTTTGCATCCTTTTCCAACAATTTGCAAAAGTGATTTACCACCTTGGAGAAGTCCTTGATGAACCTTCGGTAGAACCCCGCATGCCCAAGAAAGATCCTCACTCCTTTGACCGAAGTCGGAGGAGGGAGTTTTGAAATCATTTAAATATTCGCTTTATCTACTTCGATACCTTTATTTGAGATCTTATGGCCGAGGATAATGCCCTCCTCAACCATAAAGTGGCATTTTTCCTAATTAAGCACTAGATTTGTCTCTTTACATCGGTCCAATACTTTGTCAAGATTACCCAAACATTCTTCAAAAGAGTCACCCACAACACTAAAATCATCCATGAACACTTCCAAGAAGTCCTCCACCATGTCTGTAAATATAGCCATCATGCGCCGCTGAAATGTAGTCGATACATTACACAAACCAAATGACATTCGTGAAAATGCAAAGGTGTCATACGAACATGTGAAGGTGGTTTTCTCCTGGTCCTCCGATGCAATCATAATCTGGTTGTAGCCTAAGTACCCATCCAAAAAGCAATAGTAGGAACGCCCAACAAGTCTATCCAGTATTTGGTCAAGAAAGGGAAATGGAAACCGATATTTGCGGGTCACTTTGTTCAGCTTCCGGTAGTCCATGCATACCCTCCATCCGGTGATAGTCCTAGTAGGGATCAACTCATTTTGCTCATTTCTGACCACAGTCATACCCCCCCCCCTTTTCGGCACGCATTGTACAGGTGAAGTCCATGAACTATCTGAGAGGGGGTACACAACCCCTGCATCTAGCCACTTGATAACTTCCTTCTTAACGATCTCTTGCATAGCCTCGTTCAACCTCCTTTGATGTTCCACGGAAGGTTTGGCATCATCCCCAAGTATAATCTTGTGCATGCAAAAGGCGGAGCTTATCCCCTGAATATCAGCTAGAGTCCATCCAATTGCCTTCTTTCTTCGTTGGAGCACCTCAAGGGTGGCATCTACATGCACGTTAGTAAGGCACGCAGAAAGAATAACATGTAATGTTGAACAAGGCCCCAAGAATTCATACCTGAGGTGTGGAGGCAAAGGTTTCAACTCCAATATGGGAGGTTCCTCGATTGAGGGCTTTATTGGTGGAGTCTTTCTATTCTCAAGATTGAAGGAGAGTTTACGGGGATCATAGGAGTAAGAACCCATTCCTTGCAAGGCATTGACATACTCTACCAAGACTTCATCCTCAGTCACATCATGGTTTAACAATAGAGCTTCCAAAGGATCCTCCACATTGATCATGGCACTCGTGTCATCAACTATCACCTCCGTCACCAGATCCATAAAAGAACAAACCTCAGTACTATTTGGCTGCTTCATTTATTTGCACACGTGGAAGACAACTTTATCGCCACCCACCCGGAAGATGATCTCCCCTGCTTCCACATCAACCAATGCCTTCCCTGTTGCTAGGAAAGGTCCTTCCCAATATTATCGGCACCTCATAGTCAATTTCACAGTCGAGAATCACAAAATTTGTAGGCAAAATAAACTTGTCAACCCGGACAAGAACAACATCAATAATACCAAGCAGCCTTTTCATTATTCTATTCGCCATTTGGAATCTCATTGAAGTAGCTCTTGGTTGACCAATACCCAAAGTTTTGAATACATAGTAAGGCATCAAATTTATACTTTTTCCCAAATCACACAAGGCCTTAGCAAAATCTGCACTCCCAATGGTATATGGAATGGTGAATGCGCCAGGATCCTCAAGCTTTGGAGCCATCGAGTGCACAATGGCACTCACTTGATGAGTCATTTTGATGGTCTCACAATTAATAGATCTCTTTTTAGTTACCAAGTCTTTCATAAACTTTGCATATCCCGACATTTGCTCAAGAGCTTCCACCAAGGGCACATTGATCGACAAACTTTTCATCATCTCAATAAACTTCTTGAACTGGTTTTCATTCTTCTGCTTTGCAAGTCTTTGAGGGTAAGGTGGAGAAGGCTTTGGCAAGGGATCCTTGTCTTTAGGTAGTTTCTGGTATGTCTATCACGTGTTCCCTAGACGGGTTCACGTCATTTTGAGTCTCCTCCTCATTGTCATGAATATCAATCCTCACCTCACCATCCAACTTCTCTTCACTCACTTGCTCATCAACTATTGGATCATAATCATTTTGCACTTCAACATCATCACTCACAACTTCCTTTTGCTTGGAGGTACTTGTTTCACCACCTCTACCGATCCTAGTGGTCACCGCCATTGCATGCCGGTATTGTTCCCACCCTTCGGGTTTACTACCGTGTCACTAGGTAGTGCCCCCTTAGGGCGAGTGTTCAAAGCTTGCAAAATATGGCCAAGTTAGACTTCCAGATTGTGGATAGAAGTATTATGGTATGCCAATTGGGCATCGGAGTCGGCGTTCTTCTTCATCATTTGCTCAAACATTGACTCAATCCACCCCATCTCATTATTGGACGAGCTAGGACCTTTGGACGGAAATGGAGGCAGATTGCTTGGTTGTTGAAAAATTGGAGGCCGGTGAAAACCCAGCCCCCGATTACCTTGATTACCGTTATTTCAACCCCCTTGGTTGTTATTGCCACCGCAATTGCTATTGTTACCCCAATTGTAGTTGTTGTTCCCCCAATCGTTGGAGTTGTTGTTATTGTTCCAATTTCCTTGGCCTTTGTTGCCCCAATTCTTATTATTCCCTTGCGATCTCCATTGTTGATTTGGAGCATTACCCCGTTGTCCTTGATAGTTGTTGGCATACAAAACCTCTTCACTTTGCTCACCACACCCATCGTCTTGGTTGTAACCAATCCTACCTTGCTCATATTGGTCTTGATTGCTTTGCATTTGTTGACCATGTGGTCTCTTCTTGTTTACCAATAGATTAACCATTTTCATTGCGTTTACTTGCTTTGGTCCCTGAATTTGTTGAAAATGTGCTTTGGCTAACTGGTTCATGGTTGTTGTCAACTCAGTTATGGCTTGTCCGTGGTCTTGAAGTTCCTTGTGAAGATTTATGACATGAGGGTACCCCTGAGGAATATTTGCCCGACTCTGCCAGGTTGAGGAAGTGTCAGCCATCTCATCAAGAATCTCGTAGGCCTCAGCATAAGGCAGCTTCATAAAATTACCCCCTGCTCGCTGGTTTACCACATATTGATTGGTCGTGTTTACACCCCGATAAAATGTATGCTGGCTCATTGCTTCAGTCATATCATTGTTGGGCCATTCCTTAACCATAGTTCTATATATATCCCAGATTTCATAAAGGGGTTCATTTGGTTCGTGTTTAAAAGCTAAGATCTCATCCCTTAATGCAGACATATGTCCCAGTGAGAAAAACTTGGCTATAAACTTGTTGAC